TGATGATTGGCTCACAGCGGCCCCAGCAACATCTAGCTGATTGGCTCCTCCACGGAGCTGTTCATTGGGGGACTTCTTTGGCTCTGCCCACGCAACCCAGCCAATCGGCCTCAAGAGCAGGAGGATTGTGGGAGGTTGAGAGGCTGGTGTGGGGGTGAGAGGCTTGTGGAAGCCGGTGGTGGCAGTTGGGCTCTGAGGGTTTTTTCCCTGAGGAGCTGTTTTGTTTGGCGTTTGTAGTTCTAAAACTAAAGTTAGTTTCTTTTGACAAGTGGCTCCTGAATTGTGCCCAGCCAGACTGCGGCATGACCGGCCACTGTAAGAATAGCCCTCCTGTCCTCTGCCTTGAGGTGATCCTGCTCATCAGAAGTAAAAAGTGCCAATAAAAGCTCATGGCCATCATCCCAAGTGGGCCAGTGTGTGTGAAAAACAGACTCAAGGAGAGGAATGAGGGCCTGTGGACACTCAGAAAGGAGGATTTTGACTCTTCCAATTATATATAGATATCTGAAGTTGCAAAAGGGACATCAAAAAAGGGAGCGGTTCCATCCCTTCCTGAGGGAACTACTCGAGAGGCAACATGGGAACAATTGGGGCTGGGGGAGGAGTTGTATCTGGGAAGGTATCAGCAAGGGAGCGACCAAAGGGATATTCATGGGACTTAAAGAGGGAAGAGAAGTGGGGTGGGGACATCATCACTTCGATCAGGGGTTTATCTCTCTCTCTCTGTGTGGATGAGGCAGGCAGAAGGTAAATCCCTTTGGTGATGAAAGAACAGTCTCAGAGGATCTTGGGGAGGACATAGATAAACAAGGAGGGATTTGGGGTTCACAAGAATTATAGGGAGGTGGGAAAACTTTATCCTCATCTAAAGAGGGTAGAACAGGGGAAGAAGGATGCCAAGATGAGTTTTTAATATCCCATCTGTTGCGACTCTGGGAACCTCTGATATCCTGAAGAGCCAGAACTTTGGCCAATTTAGTTATGCTCTTGAGACATTTTTGTATTCATTTTGGAGGATTTAGAACCAAATGTAGCCATTGGTCTATATATGGGAACTGGTCAGGATGGCCAGGCCTGCCAGTTACCATATTTCAGAGCTTCTAGACAGTAAGGGGATCCAGAGATCCCTCAGATGGCCATCCCACATGGAATGTGGGCCATTCCACCTCACACAGGATTCAGAAGTGTCCCGGTGTCACAGGTACCCTATAATCAACTTGGAACCCAGATGAGAAGTTGTTAACATACAGTACAGAGGGATCAGATGATGATACTGGTTAGATCCCATAGTAAGGCTAAGGGTTAGAACAATAGGCAGAAATAGAAGGAAACTGAGAGACAAAAATCTAATGAGATAGTGAGTTTGTGGATCCAGGGGCAATGAGCCGTGAGACGCTGATGGGTCTGAGCTGGCAGGGAGAGAAGGTTTTCTTGTTGGGGCATCAATGAAAGAGTAACTTTAGAGACCACTAGACAAGCACACATGATCAACAAAAGACAATTGTCCATAAAAAAACAGACACTCCCTCCTCCCTTCCCAGTCTCCAGACCATTGTTACAGCCTATTTATCAAAGGGTGTGAGCCAAGCCTGGTGCCTCATCAGACACCTTGCTAATTGAAATAACTACAAGTTATTACAGTCAAACTAGTTGAAATATCTCTAAGGATTTCCAATCAACCTAATTGACACACCTCTGGGCTTTACATTCATTCTAGATGAAACCCCTGAGGATTACCGTCAATCTAGTCGATATACCTTAAGGCTTTATAATCAATCTAGCTGATATACCTTTAGGCTTTACATTTAGAACATACAGAAAGAACAAATAAGGTAACTTTAAGCACATGTATCTCCTTTTGTCCTCCCTCATGGCTGGGCTTGAATTGGTTACCATGTAGGATCCAATCCCTGGCAAAACAGAGAGCTCCCCCAGCCAGAGGGGAGGGCATCTCTCTCTGTGTTTTTCCGAAAAATTCTGTCTCAAGAGCCATCCGTGGGCTGTGTGTGGACTACATCAACATCACGGCCTAGTGAATAGAAACAGCTGGTATTTGGGAACTTCCATGGCAGTCCCATAGGGTAAGATCGCCCAAATACATGTGAATTTCTATTTCACTCGCCTGGTCTCACACAGCACGGGAGATGAGGTGACCTGCTGTAGCAACACAGCCTCTCTGAGATGGGTGTGACCTGCCAAAATGCCAATCAACATGCTGATTGCAAGACACCATGAAGCAGGACTCCACCCCTGAAACCTTATCCCTGCCCTTAATATACCTCCTTAAATAAACCACGGGAGCCATTTTCTAATTGTCCAGCTCCAGCTCTCGAGTGGGCTGAACCTATGAATACTCCATCCTAATTTAAAACTAATTTTGACTCTGTCTTTTGTTCTTCACTAGTTAACTTCTGACTTTAAATTCTTAGGAGGCTTATCCCTCTGAGCAGGCAAGAGTTCCCTGGTAAGATGCTGGCCCCCAGCGATATCTTCTGGTCTTTTGAAGGTAAAGACAAAAGCTTTATTTCTGCCTGGGGCCAAGAATGCAGAGAACCAAGCAGTTTTGCAAGACCCAGATTTGGGGCAGGAACATGCTTATGAGGCCTAAAACCACAGGGGAAAGGCAGGAGGAGCAATCATAATTATAAGCTACATTTTTTACAAATAGAAAATTACAAAACAAGAGTCTTATAGACATATTTCATAAGTTACATTTTTCAGATAAACAATCTTGCATTAATCCCATAGAGCAAGGATATTGTGGTCAGGGTGCAGTGGTGGGTGGGGTGGAGGTGTTAACTTCTATGCAAGTGGGCTCACAAGGTAGGGGGATATGGAGAGGTGACCAGCATCCTAACAGGGCAGATTCCTGCTCAGGAGGTGTGAGCCCCCTGGGAAATAAAAAGTCTGAAATAATCAGTAAGAAATAAAGACAGAGCCAGAAATTAGATTCATAGAGGAGTGTCTGATGGGTCTTCCAGTCTTGATGGGAGCTGAAATTGAACAACTGAAAAAAAGCCTCCAATTCTTTATTTAAGGGGGAGTACATCAAAGGCAGGGATAAGCTTTCAGCAGGAGGAGTCTTGGTTGCTTCTCCCTGTGGCAGGGTCTTGCAATAAACAGGTTGATTGGCATTTTGGCAAACCACACCCATCTCTGGGAGCCTGTGTGGCTCCAGCAGGACATTCCCATCTCTGTAACTATGCTAGAACTTGAGCAGGAGCTAAGCAGGACACCACTTGAACTAGGAATTCTCAAAACTAGTGAGGTTCCCGCTGGGAGTTCCTGATACCAGGCTTTCCTGCCTAATGGTTTCAACATCGCTTTAGTACATGCACAGTTCACGGATGGCTCCCAGCAGGAGAGCCAATTTCACAAAATGTGGATATCTGAATAAAATGGGGGTAAGTCTGGGCTAATTTTCAAATCAGCCCATAACATATGGACATTTCAACAATATTAATTCTTCCAAAAATATGAAATGCTTCAAGAATTTATGTGTTATCTTTGCACAGGGGCCATGCTAATCTGTGTATCATTCTGATTTTAATATATGTTTTGCTGAAGCAAGCACCACTGTCTACTATTGTTTACAGAACTCTTCCCTTACAGCTATTATGTAGATAGTGATCTGTCTTCTGAGGTACTGTAAGCAACAGTTTAGTCACTGCCTAAAATGAATCTTTAGTTGTTCAGTCTGCTATATCTGTTTCCTCATTTCCCACATAACTGTTGTGCCAAGCTAATGCCACATTTTGATGTTGTCTGGTTTTTATTATGGTAGGCTACCACTTCCATTATTAATCAGAGTTCATAATTGTAGCTACTGTAACAAACTTAAATTCTCAGTGTCATAACCGAAAAAGGTCTATTTTTTGTCCTAATCAGTCAAATGAAGATCAGTATGGTGATGTTCTCCATGCAGTCATTAAGAGACTACAGATCCTTCCTTTGATGTGGCTGCCATTCCTTAAGAATTTTAGAGTTCTTGATCTAGCTGACATGTGAAAGACAAACAGGAGCTACACATCACTAGTGGTGTTAAGAGTCACCATTATGTTTGGCATTCAGAGCTTCTGTCTTCATTGCACTGGTCAGAAACAGTAATACAGCTTACTTGGAGGTAAGAAAGTCAGGAAATAGGGGTTTGCTAGATGAAAAGATGGTAAATATGTATCATTGTCTCTCTCAATAGTAAGGATACTTTTCAGTTACAGGTAACAGGAAACTCAACTCAAATTGACTTTATGGGCTCAATGATTGACTGCCTATGTAATAAACAGAAAAGACAAGATTCTGATGTTTGTGAGTTCACAAAGAAATGTGACTCCAGGGGGTGGTTAGGTTTGGGGCCTTATATATTCCCATGAAAGTGTGGGAGAGAAGAGCACTCATAAGAAAACAAATGAAATTTTAGAAGGTGGGTGTTGGAAGAAGAAGCAGAAATTCATTTATAGGAAAACAAATAATATTTAGAAAAGACAAAATGGCCCTTCAGAGAATACATGGGCAATATGATAGTTTTTTGACAATGTCTATTTAAGGGTGGTAACAATTCTCATAGTCACTGATATTAAGAGTCAAGCTTCTATGATTGCTCCCTGGAGGGGATTTCTAACAATTGAGTTTTCTTTTTCTTTTTTTCTCCTTCTTTTGGAAAGCTCTGCTATTAGGTACATAAATGCATTCAGCTCAAAATAGTTGTCAGGGCATCATAGCTTCTCAGCCTAAATACCAAAGGGGATTTATTTATTTATTTTAGAGAAGTCTAGAAGTAGCATGGGGTTCAGGCTGAATTTGATTTGGAAGGTTATGATGCTGTCAGGAATTGGCTTCCTTTTCCTGCCACAGATTGTCCCAACTCTCCCTGCCCCATGTGTTAGCTTTATTCTCAGTTGGTTTTCCTTAATAGCAAAGAAAAAAAAAAGATGATTGTAGTCTTCTGGTATTCACATTCCAACATCACACTATACAGAGGAAGAGTTTCTCTTTTCCCTGTAATAAAACAACAATGATAGCTTCACTCTAATTGGCCTCTGAAACAAAAATTGGTTCAGGGTAACTCTGATTGAGGGTAATTCCGAGAGTTATAGGTCATTTGGACCATTTGTGGACCTGTTGTAGGAGATAGGAATTAATTCCATCCAAATCACATAAATGAACAATGAAGGAATTGTGGAACGGAAGCTGGAAAAATATCCTGTATCACTTACATCAGTCAGGGAAGAGTATGGAGTGAGTACTGAGGACACCCAGAGTAAATGGACAACATGTAAAAGGGTCTGACAATACTATTCATTAGAGGAAGAGAAGCCCTTGAAAAACAGTGGGAATGTGGACAGTAAATAAGAGAACCAAAAAAGGGGTGTTCTAGAAGCCAATGGAAGAGTTTTAAGGATGGTATAGTTAAAATCATCTAAATGACTTTCTGTGTACTGATCCAATTTTCATCAGATATCCTTTGTAATTCAGCTTCTCATGTAAATACTCCTTTGGAATAGAAATATTTTAAAAAGAAAAAATTAGAATCTTGGTTTCTATCAGTCTCTAGTTAAAATTTAGTTGGCATGAATCACTCCCTCAAATTTAACTCATTTTGGGGGAAGGATGCTGGTAACCGAGGACCCTTCTCTAGAATACAGAGTGAAATCTTTGTTATTGTTGTTGTTCTGGGGATTGAACCCATGACCTTGTGCATGCAAGGCAAGCACTCTACCAACCGAAATATATCCTCATCCCCAGAATGGAATCTTAACTTCATTTTCATACTGTAAAATGCTTTGCTAACCTGTATGAACTACATTTGAAAAAATGATGAGCTAAAAATACTTAAAGATTTGGGGAAACCAAATGCCAAATATTTTCTCTGATATGTAGATGCTAACACACAATAAGTGGGTGGTGGTGGGTGAGAATAGAAGTTCAGTGGATTAGACAAAGGGGACTGAAAGGAAGGGAGGGGAGATGGGAATAGAAAAGATGGTAGAAGGAACAGTACCTAACTTTCTTATATTCATATATGAATGTACCTCCAGTAAAATGCCACATTATGTACAACCACAAGAATTGGATCCTAATTAGAATAAGTTATACTCCATGTATGTATGTTGGAATACACTCTACTCTCATGTATCTAAAACGAACAAATTAAAATAAATAAAGATTTGGGAATTTTACTTTCTATGTTTATTTTTTGATTATGTTTTGGTCTCTCCCTGGAAGGCTTATTTTCAGGACCAGCAGGAAAGGGAAACCTGGGAAGAATATGTGGGACCAAGAGTAGGTCACAGCTACCTATGGGGGGGGGGCGTTCCAGAAGGTGTCAATCCAAAATATGCCCCTTTGACATATATTTGAGCCAAAGGTAATTAACAAGCAGCAGATAGAAGAAGACCTTTTTCTATCCTTCTCTTTTCCTACCTAAAGACGGGATATAAATTCTCCTTTACAGGGGACAGCTCAGAATGAATTAGAGGAATCTACAAATAAAACTTAGTCCATTAGTCTCACCTACATATTTACCTTCCCAGTTCCCACATTTGGAAACTTGAAACTGTTACCCACTGTCCTGTCATTTTCCTATAAATTTTTGTCTTTTGTTAAAGATGTTATAAGAGCTAGAGTTCTAAGCCATTGCCTTGAATTAACTTTCATCAAGGTTTCCCCTATGGGAGGTGCACTGCAGGCATTAATAAACTTGTTTTTCTGCTGTTAATCTGTCTTGTTACAGGGGTTTATCACAACAACAAACTTGACGAAAGTTGAGGAGAAATTATTTTTCTCTTGGACATCTGCATCTATGCCAGGTCCCTAAGAATGATCCATGTGGCCTTTGGGAAAGATTAATCTGGAAAGGTAATCAATATGGAGGCTATAGGAAAGATAAACACCTGAGTAAAGCTGGACCATTTGGATGAGAAATAAGAAACCATTCATACAGGAGGCCAGAATTAGAAAGGCCTGTGTGTTAAAGATTTGGGAGGTTTTGGCAAAATCCTGAAATCTTTGCAATTCAGGAAGCTGAGACAGGAGGATCACCAAGTTCTTGTCTCAGTGGGACCCTGTCTCAAAATAAAAAGGACTTGGGATGTAGTTCTGTGTTAAAATGGCCCTGGGTTCAAGTCCCAGTTTAAAAAAAAAATTCTTAGAGGCTGAAAGAAAAATGAGGAACCAGGAGACGAGCGCACGAGAAATGAAAAGGAGACCAGGCAGAGATACACACGGGAGTTTATTTTTTAGAACTAACAACTAAAGGTGATCTATCCATAGATGGAGAGAAGCAATACAGGATTGTGTTCCATGACTTTTATGGGGCAGCCTTAGGGAATAGAGCCAGGCAGGTCCTACTTTGGGTAGTGAAGATTTGGGTTGGTATGAGGGAGTGGTGAGCCTTTCTCAGAAAGGCCCTTTAGTGGGAAAGCGAAATTTTTCTTAAAATGGTGGCTGTCACTTAAGATGGCTGTCCATATGCCAAGCAAGGACCTTACATTCCACCCCACCACCTTTTTGTTTGTTTGTTTTTGGGCCCCTTAAGGGACAGGGGTGTAGATCAATCTTCTGTAGCTTCTTCCTGCTGGGAAGAGGCAGTGTCTGGACCCTTGTTAGGGATGTGATGTGTCATTGAGGCAACGGTGCTGGTCAGGAGGTACCAGGCGATGCTGACTCCAGACGACCCACTTTGGTGAGGGGTTGGAAGTCCTGTAACAGAAGCTGGTTCATGATTTGGTTAGAGACCCTTTGAATCTGGTCTTGAATAAATCTAATGATGCAGGGGGCAAGCATTAGCAAAAGGCCTACGACAAGGACAGAGGTCAGGAAAGGAAGTACCCACTGGAGAAGGTGTTACTTAGCTGCCATCTTTCAGTTACAATGGCAGTGGGAAACTTTGAGGCTTGAAGGAGATCGGAGATAGAGGGGGCATTAGTAATTGAAGTTCCCTTGGTGGTAAGGAATCCACACTCCTTCCTGTTGGGAAAACATATAACCTAACAGCACCCCAGAGAAAAACCCCAACATGGCGCCTAATGACCCTCTTTCTCCTCTTTTTTTCTTTCACTGGTACGAAACGTTCCCTTCAGTGCCAATGTTCAAATCCTTAACTTCTTGGGCTCTGGAACTGACATATGGAAGAGCTTGCCAATAAACGGGCAACCGGTTATCTACCTCAGCTCTGCTACCTCTCCTTAGATCTATATAAACACACAGCCTTTTTTAATAAAGTGGAACCTCTCCGGTGATCTGTGTCATGTGGTGTCTCCCATTCGTAGTGCAGTGTGGTGTCTTACAGTGTTGCTGAAAACGCGGGAGACAGTGTGCTTGACAAACCGAGCTTCGTCTCCGCCACCGCCGTCACCAACGACACCTTTCGCCCTTGTCTGTTTTTTGGGCGCTGGTTCCCTGCACTCACCACTGATCGGGTTTAGGTAAGTTCGCACTCCCCGGCTCGCCAACTCCCTTTGGGCTGCCAGCAGGGGACGCGACCATGATCATCTGGCATGCTCCTGACGCCCAGTAGGGAGGAGGGAAAGCACCCCACTAAGACCTTCACTGGTCGCAGTGGACCCTCTGGCAACCCGCTTCCCTTTGGGGCGTGAGGCTTCTGGGTTTACACGAGAGTCTCCCTGGTTTCTTCCTCCTCAGTAGAAACTGCGTCTCATCGGAGCTGTGTCCTGCGGGAGCTGTGCTCTGCCGGAGCTGTGTTCAGCCCAGAGCTGAACTTCCAGTCCGGAGCTGTGTTCTGCTGGGGTTCTGTCCCTTTCTTCCTTGACTCGCTCTCATTCTGGTGGAAAAATTTTCCTGACATCAGGTTGCCCATGGCCTCGACCTTACAGGGTCGCACAGACTGCACTTCGTCGGTGACGACCAAACTGTGCCCTCTGTGCCTACTCACAGTGGACTGGTCACTTCGGGGATGCCCATGTGACCCTCCATCTGCTCTATGCTTCCAGGAAGCCCCTCCGGCCCAGGTTAATTCTTTTTCTCCCTTTGCTGTCCCTTCCTCCACTCTTTAACTATGGGTGCCTCCTCGTCTATACCCGAAACCTCACCACTCAAGTGTCTCCTTAAGAATTTGGCTACTCTCTCTCTTTCCCTGGATCTCAAGCCCAAAATTCTTATCAGATTCTGTACCCAAGATTGGCCCACATATCCGTTAGATAATGACAATCATTGGCCTCCAGAAGGCTCATTAGATCCAAACCTTCTTCGGGATCTTCTTAACTACTACCTGCACCTAAAAAATTGGAGAGAGGTCCCATTACATTGAACGTTTTAGCCTTCTCGCCCAATACCTCGCCCTCTGCACTTCCTGCTCTCCCTCTCAGGTCCTCCTTGCTTGTAAAACCCTACCTTCCCCTACTTCTTCCCCTGACTCCGAAGAGTCTCCTCATTTGACCCAGCAGATGAACCTCCACCTTATCCCCCAGCCTCATTCGCCCCTCCTCTCCTGCTACACCCTCCGCTTCTTCCTCCTGATTCCACCAATTCTCAGCCTTCCATTTCATCCCCCTTCCCCCGCTCTCTTCCCCGGGTCCCACCTCCTCCTCCTCCGCTGAGATATCCCCTTCCCCTCCCTCTCCTTCCTGTCTGCTGCTGACTGCCTCTTTCAGTCCTCCTGTCACCAGGTCTAAGGGATCCCCTCCTACTCCCATGACAATTGCAACCCTTCGTGAGGTAGCTGGTCCTGAGGGTGTTATTAGAGTACTTGTGCCTTTCTCCATGTTGGACATTACTCAGTTAGAGAGGAAGTTAGGCTCATTCACCACTGGTCCCACCACTTACATTCGGGAGTTTCAGTGGGTCCTGCAGGCATACAGCCTTACCCATCACGACATCTACATGCTCCTGGCCAATACACTTCTGCCTGAGGAAAGGTGACGGGTCTGGGAACTAGCCCAAGCCCATGCTGATGAAAATCATAGGACCAATCCCAACCACCCCATAGGATGTCCCAGAGCAGGATCCTCTATGGGATTACAATACCCCTGGAGGCTTACAGTCTCGTGACCTTTTTGCATCCTGCCTCTTGGCAGGCCTAAAAAAGGCCACCCACAAGGCAGTTAATTTTCAAAAGGTGCAGGAGGTCATTCAAAAGAAGGAAGAAACATCTTCAGAATTCCTGGATAGACTAACCAAGGCCCTCCAGCAGCACACAAACCTCGACCCAGAAAGCCCTGATGGCTGTCATGTCTTAATGACATATTTCCTGGCCCAAAGCTACCCTGACATTAAAGCCAAGCTTAAGAAGCTTGAACAGGGCCCTGCTACTCCTCAGACCGAAATCCTTGCAGTCGATTTCAAGGTGTTCCATAGTAGAGAGGATGAAAGCGAACGTCATAGGCAGAGGGCTGAAAACGCCAAATTCCAAATATTGGCCCAGGTCATTCAGAGAAGGTCATCACCACGCCGTCCCAATAAGACACCCCCTGGAGCTTGCTTCAAATGTGGTAAGGAGGGACATTGGGCCAGGGATTGTCCTTCGCCGAGGATACCCTCCACCCCCTGCCCAAAATGCCACCAAAGGGGACACTGGGGGGTAGACTGCCCAACAACCCAGAGGGGAGGTTGAGGTTGGTCAGCCACCCCACAACTCCAGCCTCTCCTGGGCTTGGCAGAGGAGGATTGACAGAGCCCTGGGCCTTCCCTCCCGACTATTACCATCAAGAAGCAAGAGTCTAGGGTCACATTTCTAGTGGATGGACACTTCATTACCTTCCGTTTAGACACTGGTGCCACATTTTCAGTCTTGAGGGAGTATTGGGGTCCTACCACACCCTCAACTCCTATTGTCCACCTCCCCCGCCTCTCATTTCCTCATGATGATCCTAGGGACAAATACACCTCCATCATGCACTCTCCCACAACTATCTAAACTAGTTAATCCTGAGGTTGGGACACAACTACACCCTCTATGGCTAAATGCAGTCCTATTCATATTGTCTTACGGGACCCTTCAAGATATATTAGTCAACCATAATATCCACTCACAACCACAGCCCTCCTTGGATTAGAACCCATCATCCAGGATTTATTATGGAAGGGGTATCTTAGACCTACACACTCTCCTTTCAACACTCCTATTCTAGCAGTTAAGAAACCTAACGGGTCCTACAGGCTGGTTCAAGACCTTCACCTTGTCAACTCCTCTGTGGTCCCCATCCACCCGCTAGTGCCCAACCCCTACACCCTCCTCTCTCAAATCCCTGCTACTACCACCCACTTCTCGGTCCTAGATTTAAAAGATGCCTTCTTTTCTATTCCCTTGTCCTCAGAATCTCAGGATATCTTTGCTTTTATGTGGACTGATCCTCACACCCTCCATTCTCATCAGCTTACCTGGACCATCCTCCCGCAGGGATTCAGGGACAGTACCCATCTCTTTGGCCAGGTTCTTGCCCAGGACCTCACATCCTTTCACCCCACCTGCCCTGACTCTACTCTCCTTCAATATGTCCATGACCTTCTTCTATGTAGTCCCTCTTGGGAACACTCTCAATCCCACACCACCCAGCTTCTCAATTTCCTAGCGGATAAGGGATATAGGGTGTCTCCCCACAAGGCCCAGGTTTCCCAGTCTTCTGTCACCTACCTTGGTTTTCGCCTTGCACTGGGAAAAAAGGAAATAAAACTGGATAGGAGGCAACTCCTCTCTAATCTTCTGGTGCCTCATACGAAAGCCAAAATACTATCATTCCTAGGACTAGCAGGTTATTTTAGGGTCTGGATCCCAAATTACTCTCTTCTAGCCAAACCCCTGTATGACCTAGCAAAGGGACCCCCTGGTGAATCTCTTGCCTCCTCCCCCCGCTACCACTTTCGCAGACCTCAGCAGCTCCTCTTAAAGGCACCTGCCCTTCACCTTCCCGATCTTTTAAGACTGTTTCATTTATATGTCCATGAAAAAGGGGGGCAAGCACTTGGGGTCTTGGGTCAAAATTATGGGCCTACATTTGTACCTGTGGCATATTTGTCCAAATAATTAGACCCTACCACATGTGGGTGGGCCCCTTGCTTAAGATCTCTGGCTGCTGGACAAATTTTACACAAAGAAACCTCTAAGCTGACTTTCAGGGCCACTTTACCTATCCACTTCCCACATCACTTGAAGGATCTTTTAGCTTATAAGGGCCTTCAAACCCTTCCTCAATCCAGAATCCTGTCGCTCCTCATTTCCTTTCTGGAAAACCCTAATATTACGTTCTTCCCCTGCTCTGCACTGAACCCTGCCTCACTGCTCCCAACAACCCCCACATCTGACACACCAGCTCATAATTGCTTGGAAACCTTGGATGATTTCCTCCCCTGTCATTCTTCCATTTCTGAGGAACCACTCATCAAGCCTGACCTTATCTGGTTCACTGACGGCAGTTCCTTTAGGCAGAACGGCACTCATTACTCTGGATACGCCATAGTTTTGGCCACTGAGATCATAGAGGCCAAAGCTCTGCCTTCAGGAACAACCAACCAGCAGGCCAAACTTGCAGCAGCCACTCGTGCCTGCCTTCTTGCACAGGGCAAATCCCTCACCCTTTATACTGACTTAAAATATGTCTTCCATATTCTATTATCCCATGCTGCAATATGGAAGGAGTGAGGCCTACTTACCACTAAAGGTAATGCGATCACTAATTTGGCTCTTATAACCAATTTGATAGAGGCCTCCCAACTCCTCCAGTTGGGAGTTGTCCATTGTAGGTCACATCAGAAGGACGGCTCTCTTATTACTGAGGGCAATGCCAAAGCTGACCAGGTGGCATGAATGGCTGCTACCACTTCCAATTATGACCCCCCTGGGGGACATATAATGGCCACTTTAGACTGTCCATCTGAAGCCCCTACTTCTTCCAGTAAGAACAAGGATCTTTTTGAGTTCCTCCATACTCTATTCCATTCCAATTCTCAGTCTTTGACCCTCTTTTTACAGAGCTTCTTCTCCCTCACCCCCTCTGACAAAGCTATTCTACAGAATATAGCCTCTAATTGTCAGATCTGTCAGCGGACCAACACTCATACTCCTTTAAGACCTAAACCTTTCCCCTCCCACCAAGCTTGGGGACACACTCCTGCTGCTGACTGGCAGGTAGACTTCACCACATGCCTGCAATATGGCGCACTAAATACCTCCTTGTCTTTGTGGACACTTTCTCTGGTTGGGTTGAGGCATTTCCCACTTACAATAAAAAGGCTTCCACTGTAGCTTTTATCTTACTGACAGACATCATCCCCAGGTTT